TAAACAAAAACAATTTTGTCCTTACAATGTCTTTATAATCTACTGATAAATCTTGCAAACAATACTGGGAGTATTACTTACCAGCATTAATTTTCCCTTGGAGTTCAGTTTGCCTACTCGCAATATTAAGGCTTACTGCCCCAATCCTCCAATGAACTTCATGCCAGTACAGAGATTTACCCAAAAAGAGCTCATTGCTGGCTCAGGACCTCTGAATTGTGGGAAGCAGGTGAAGGAGGCCTTACATTTTCTGCCAGTAATTCTGTGGGAATACTTTAGAAGTCAGAGAGAAAAGTCCTATTGAAATTACTTATCTATCTTCCTGTCAGCAGACAAGTGCTCCCTACAGTATATCTTTTATATATTCTATGATTTGTCCAATCTGGTTTTAAATATTAAATTACTCTAGCAATGGGCTTCTACAATCTCTGAGTGATTATTTCAATCTAATAGAACCTCTTCATCAGGAAATTATTCTTGATATCAAGCATATATTTTCCTTTGTCCCATTTCTTCCCATTACCTTTAGTTAAAAATCTTGAACAATGTTAAGTCCTTGCCCCAGTTTACCCAACCTATGCATATCTACCTTTTACTCTTTCCTCAGAAATGAATACAACTTTCCCCTTAATAGTTTTAATTGCTTGTCTCTGATATCCTGCCAATTTCTTTCATCTTTTTGATACCGAGATTCCAGAAGTGTGATCAGTAGTCTGTGCGCAGTCCCATCAATGCTGTATACAAAGGGACTACAAAGCAGTGTGGTGGTCTGTGATGTATTGCTTCTACATATGCAACCCAAAATTGCTTTGGCTGCTTCTTCCTCGCCCGCCCCCCACTATACTGAATTGCAAATTGATATCCAAAGTACTGCCCTTATCTCCATAAGTCTTTTTTGGTATAATTTCTATATTAGATCTCCCTGCTATCTGTAGCTTACATTTGGTTGGTATTTGACCTGCCCCTATCCCCACAGTCAAATATTGCCTTATATCTTTGTCTGCCCTAATTTTACTACTTTTTAATACAAATAAATATTAATCAGCAATGATCTCTATATGTAAATGCATCCATTAGGCAAATATAAATATTTATATTTCTAGGCTCTAAAGCATCTAAAACATGTTAGAAAGGTACATATCATCCCTATTTTGTAAGGGGTGTGGGGGGATGGGAACTGAGGCATAGAAAGGTGACCTAGGTTTCTTGAGAGATGCAGGGCACCTCTACCTTTCATTAATACCTTCTACAAACAGGTCAAACAGGACAAATATAAAAGTGTTGGGTGACTAAAAATCTGTTAAATATGAATGTAAGAAATAAAATGTAGAGCTAGAGATTCTAAGGTGTTTACTTAATATTTATTTTTTTCAGGCATCTTAGGGATATATAGAAAGTGTTAATTTAACTGAGCAGTAGTCTCAATAGCCAAGGTGCCATGATAGTGCTTATTTGAGGGTTCACATTTTGTAGGTTTTGAATAGATACTGAAGCAAAAACTTAACTAGATTTCACAAACTAATATTCTGTTGAATACTTCATATGTTTATTTGCAGAAGTTATATCAATTAAAAAAAAACAACTGAAATATAAAGTGAAAAGTAGCCAAAATATTTCTTTAAAAAATGAGAACAAAGGGAAATTAATAGGTCACTGTGGTAGAACACAGGGACATAGGAATAGGCATAACAACGTATAACAGACCAGTTCCTGTCTGTATCTTGTTTCTAACCACAGCCCTTAACTTGGGCTAACTTCACAAAGAGACTTTGCCACATTTAGTTGTGACTGAGATCCTCAGATTTCCTTTTAAAGTCCCTCAGTCCCAGGAAGGTACATTATGCACCTACACTTCTGCCATTGGACAAGTACACAGCTACCCAAGGCTGACCCTGACAGATATGCAAGCTCAGCCCCAACTCACTAAGCTGGAACTGGGTTCTCAAACTGAGCAGTTCCCACAATCTCACCTGTGGGACTGGATCTAGTAGGTGTTTCCTAACATGCCTCACCTGTACAAAAGACAACCAGAAGGAAGGGGTTCCAGTGTCCTCCCTTAATACCCGGTAGGCAGGCCACTCATCTATGTGGGAGATCCAGGTTTTAATATGTCCTTTGTGGTCTTGTTTAGACTATGTGCATCTCTTATGGTTGTGAGTTCCTCAAGTTTATAATGGGTTGTGCAACCAGCATTTCCTCTTATCAGTTAGAATTGGTCACCTTCCAATTTCATGGGATGTGCCCTTGTTTGTATTGTTGCCTCTTTTAGACTAAGTAGTTAGTCAGCGTTTTGGGCCTTGCTGGTTTGTTTCCTTTGGGGGAAGGAGGAATCAGTGAGACAACTTCTCTGCTTTAATCTCATTTGTTTGTTTTTTTTTAAGTAAAAAAAAGTCTTATTTTCTGAAGCACAGTAAAAAGAAACAATAGCTGACAACTTCTCTGTTCAGAAATCCAAGTCAATTTTCTCAGAAAGTGTTCTGCCCAGAAGCAGCTTGCTTTCTTGGCTTCTTCCCCAAGCCACAGACCCTTGTTTCTACACCTGTCAGCTGGCTTTTCCCTTACTTTCTGCTTCCTTTTCCATGCTAATCTATTAAGAAAAAGGAATGTCACTTTGCCTTCCATACACCATTCATCTCCATATATCCCTGTAATGTGTCCTCTCTGGTTCATCCCCTTTTTAAACTACTATGCTAGTCCTTACAGTCTCTCTCTTCATATGGTGTCCTTCCCATGCCTCTGTGTTAATTTCCTGCCTCTGAACCTGTTCTATTTTTGATATATCTTTTTTTCTTGAGACAGGGTGGCCAGAACTGAAGCACAGTAATCTAGAGAGGACGGTGTACTGATGATTTATATAAAGACATTATGCTTCCTTGGTATAACTGTCTCCCTCTTTCTCTGTATAACCTAACATTTGTGTTAGCTTTTTTTTCGCCCTTTACTGCTGCTGCATACTGCTGAGTAGAGATTTTTGTTGCTGGAAGTTGCTGAATGTCCAAATGCCATCAGCAGAGAGGTAGTTAGCCTGGTTTAGGGGCAGAGGGGAGGGTGAACTGGCATCCCACTTTGATTCGTGCTCCACCCAAAGTTTAACACCAACTGCCTGGAAGTGGCAGCAGCATTTCTAGTCCATCGATGTTGAGGGCATTGCATGACCTGCAGGAATCTACCTGTTCCCTTCTAAAATCTTCATTCCACAGGCCTTAACCATTCTCTCTTCCTTTTAATGGTCTGAATGTTACCCCCATCTCAAGCTAGCCTTTGTTTTGCCATGCTGCTGCCTGCTGGCTGCTCCTGGATCTCCTACGTCACAGCCCCCCGGATCACTTTTCCCTCCTGCCATTGAGGTTCTGCTTGGTTTGGCTGTGGATCACTTTTCACTCCTGCCATTGAGGTTCTGCTTGGTTTGGCTTCCACCTTACACTGAATGAGGCCGCTCTGGCCTCTGGTCTATTAGTTTATTCTGAATGGGAGAGAAATGGGGAGGGAGGGGATGTTATGTGTGACGATGCGGCTCATCATCTACCCCCATCTTTCCAGCACCCTTGATTGGCCCAGGAGCGTGCTGGCATGAAGGAGGGGCAGAAGACCGCAGGGTGCACCTCCTGGCCCTGCTTATCTGGACAGCTGCAGAGCACCAGCTTTGGGGACCTGGAGTTCATCTGCCAGGTGCTGCCACAGGGTGGTCCCTAAACAGGCAGGTGGGAGAAGGGTGGAGACCCCACAGGCACAAAGACCCTCATGAAGTTCCTGCTGGGTGCAAGCCAGCATTGCCAGGTCTTAAATGCCAGGTCCTTTCCTGCCTAAGAGTAGGGGGGCTGGACCTGACAGTCTCGTGAGGTCCCATCTAGCCCCTAACTTCTATGAAGCTATATGAAATGATCTTATTGGAAGCTCAAAATGATCCCATTTGCTGAAAAACTATTGTACGTTGAAAAAAAAAAATCTGCAAATAAGTGCAAAAAGTCTTCTTGTTTACTGTATATTGCTCACTGGAACCCGGCAGTGAGCGAGAACTGGGTCATCCCAGTTGAAGCAGTTCTTTATTGTGAAGCAGGCAGTCCTCAGAAAGAGCTGATAGCAAGCCCAAAAGTCAGTTAAGCCCTTCTGAGAGTGATTTGAGTTTTGTATTTGCAGCATCAATTTTCGAACCCTTGCACTATGATGGGCACTATGATGGCCTGCACGAGTCTAGTACAAAAATGATCATTACCATGCACCTGGCAACACCGGTTCCAGCCTCCCACCCCGCTTGCTCCAGTACGACACCGACCAGCAGCTCACCCACGAGGCGCCTCCCCTCCCCCAACTAGTACGCGGGCTCCCTCGCGCGGCCGCACTAGGAGGAAGGGTGGGGGGGCGGAGGACAGCGCCTGCTCCGCGCGCACTCAGCCTAGCTTGAGCCTCCTTCCGCACTCCGCGCCATGCTAGTGGCTGGCGCGGCGGCAGGCCCCTCCCAATGGGCGGGGCGGCCGCGTCAGCACTTTCGGCTGTGCCGGGGCCAGGCTCCTGACAGGCGAGGCGAGTAGGCTAGAACGCCGGGAGGGGAGGGGTGGGGGGAGGACGGGCGGCTGGACTGACGGACGGAACCTTTCCTGCTGCCGGGGAGGGGGGCGGACGGAACCTTCCCTGTC